AGTGATCTAATAAGTAGATCCGACTCCTCGCTGCAAACATGGAATCATTCTTTATGCTAAATGGTGGACAGATGGTCGGGCCTCTGCAAGCAATCACGGCCAAAGATTACCAAACTTCTCGTTGCATACTATCAACTGGCGAGATAAAAACAAGGTGCAGGAAACAGTAGTGCAGCTAATGTGAATTTGACCATCTTGGCCGCCAGTATCGGCCAGGACTCTTGTGGATAGTATCACTCACACACACACACACACAAAAAAGGCTGTATCTGTCTTTTTTGTTTTGCTAGAACGCCACGGAATCTGTTTATTTTCAAAGGGAGGCTTAACATATTCTGGATCAATTTTACAAAACAGCAAACAGACACTGGGTTGTTTGTGAATGTATCAACTACACCCTTCCATTCTCTATTTGCCCATTATGAAATCCCTCGCAGCCTTAGACAACTTCCAAACACAAAACTTGGTAAAGAACAAAATGTGCAAGATTTTCGGGCCAAATCTTGCTCTGAAATTCGTCTAAACATCCCACGCAGAACGGACTTCTATCAATGTCTGTCATGCGAGTCTTAATACAAGCCCCGTGACTGATTCCTCCGGGTTATCTTATCTTTAGCAAAGTAGAAACAGTTGAAGGACACTTTTATGACTTTATCGTTTTGTTAACAGCACTTGATAATTGTCACGGCTGTCATTATGTATTTTTCTACTCAGCTGTCATCCTGTTTTTATTCATTTAGTAATTTACCTCTTCCTTAGATAAACACTGGTCGGGACTGTGCCAAGATAATCCACAGAGAAAAAGAGGCTGAGTGCGGGGAGAGCGCTTTGACATTGCAGAAACAACAGCGGATCAGTTATCATATGGTCAGACCGCTTCATAATGACAGAGTGATAAAGTACAACCTTGGTATACTCTTGTGTGTTCATGTTACATTACAGTATATATTACAGGTTCCTGCATCTTGACATTTGTCATAGAAAACAAACCGAAACCTCCGTAGAGATCCTCTTTTCATATTTGGATTGTAGAGTATAATTCATTGAAACAAAACATGCCTGTTCCTGTAGTACGTTGATAAGTATGCTACATTTCATAGTTTAGTCTGAACACATGGACTGTAGCTATGAGCATTTACCCAAGTACTGGCATAAATGTAAGCACTCAGTACTCCACACTGAGTACTTATATTTTGTGCTAGTTCAGCTTCTGTCACATTTCTGAGGCAAATTTTGTATTTTCGGCCTACAATTAGCGAGGCACCCCGCTCAGTGGAAAGGTAATCCACTGTGCTGGAAAAGAGGCCCCCAACCAGTAGTTGAGCCACAGATTCAAGAGAAGCAATGCAGATTCCATCCTGGGCATTGAAAGGTGGACCGGCTCTTCTTCTACTGCTCTACAGGGGGGGTCATGGGAGTTTGACTATCCAGTCCCTCATGTCCTTTGTGGCCTTGTAAAAAGCCTACAATCGTGTCCCCTATGGGAACCCCGTTGGAAGTTCTGTTGGAATAGGAGGCCATTGTTACCAACTATCTGGTCCTCATGCAACCAAAGTGAAAGCTGTATTTGTACTCTGAGCACAAGGTCAAACACGTTTCAAACGGGTGTTGGACTCCACCAGGGTTGCCCTTAGTCTTCGATCCTATTCATGGGCAGGATCTCAAGGCGGCGGTTTTAGTTCTCTTGCCTGAAACTGGTATCTCAGGATGTTGTTGATGGGAAAATGGAGCATAAGATGGACCAACGGTGTCAGTGGTAATGTGGGCTTTGTACTCGACCGAAGAGACTCTCAATTGACTCACTCAGCTATGGTCATGAGTTCTGTGTAGTGATGTTTAATAGAAGTTTCCCACAAAGGGTGGTTGGGCTTAGCCTTAAGGACAGGCTGAGGAGCTTGGACATCTGCTCGGAGTAGAATTGCTGTTTGTTTATGTCGACTGGAGCTAGCTGAGGTGATTTGCACGTCCAGCAGGGAGGAAACCTTTGGGTGGACCCGGAATTCGCTGGAGGGATTCAACATCTCATCCATCCATGGAGCGCCTTGGGATCCGCTTTGAGTAACTTAAAATATAGTGCTGGTGAGAGGGACATCTGGAACGGTCCGCTTAACCTGCTGCCACCACACCTGACCCCAGATAAGCGAAAGAAAACGGACTGATGAATGGAGATTCTACTTTCAGATCTGTCACTGCAGTCAGCAGCCGATCGGCTTAACTTTGCTTCAGACTGGAAGCAAACACTAGGAACCAGCAAACCTGGTCCAGTCGGACACGAGTAAACTTTTGGGTTTTGCAACAGTTTAAAAGATCTAATTTGTTAATTAGTGTGCTGGTAGCTGGAATTTGCACTAGAACAGATGTAGTGTCTTTGTGGACATTTACTACACATCTGTCATTTTTGATATTTTACTCTCACACATCTATATTTATATTTATATATTTAGGTTTATAATACAAACCTATGATCAATGGAAAATATGCGACATGAGAAGTACAGTTACTACTTGACTGAAACTATAACAGCAGAAGCTTTACTTATACTGCAGGATTTAAAAAAAAAATGTCTATAGCTGATGAGAAAATAAGCCTATAACAGACATATTTAGCAGTCTGAAGATTTAGGGTAAGCGAATGAACACCTTTCACTCTCCTGCCCTTGGGCAAGGCATTTAGGCCTCACCTCGTCTGTAGTTACCCGAAGCTGGTGTGAACATGAAGCAGCCGCTGCACATGCTTACTCAACTTACTCTTGCTAAATAAGGGTTGAAGTAAATCTTGCTTCGCCCTGCTGCCATCCCAGTTCAGTCAAGTGTGTCCAGCACTGATCTCAATAACGAAGCATCCGAAACATTTCACTCCCCGGACTGACGGTAAATGATGTGCAGTAGGTGACCGTTGGGTCATGTACTTAGATGCGTTGCTCATGATGCCATGCGAAGTCATGAGGATCAGCAGGATAAGTAAACTCACCTCTTCTGGCACTTGAGGCTGTTTAGCAGCATGTCTGTCTGCGGGCTTATTAAAACTTGGCTCCCTAATGAACATTCGCCCTTGAAGCCTGCTGAGTGCTTAGTGCTGCTCAGGAGACGGCGCTCTGGACACACGGGGCCTCTCTTCCTGCTCCCTACTGAGCGCCCGGTATAAAACTCAGCTGTACCGGCAGGCTGGGGTAGAGTCATATGAATACTTTTACATTACAGTGAACTGGAATGTTAACAAAAGACAGTCCACACAATGAATCCTGTGCTTGTTTCCTCCGTGTTTTCTTTTCTTTCTTTTTTTTTGTGTGTGGAGCCGGCGTGGACGAGCTGCTTCGCCGACTCAGTCACCGTTTCTGTATATAGTTTTGTCATTGTCGTCTTGTCATCTGGGCCTTGGGTGATTTAAATCCCACTGCTGCGGCATGGGAGAGTGGGAGGAAAAAGCAGTTCCACATGGGCTGATCGAGACCCTGCAACCATGCCATGACTTCACACTCCAACATGCCAATTTATGTGTGTGTGTGTGTGTGTGTTTGTGTGTGTGCACGCATGAGAACTGGATGAAGCAGAGTGTGGTGTGGGATTGTAGACAGAGTTGCACAATAACACGTCCAGCCCAAAAAGCTCCCTCAGGGGTGTGATTTATGAGCTGGGCAGTGACGGGAGACACTCAGGAACTAAGGCCTACTTAACAGACGCTGAAATGCTGTTATGATCTATCTATCTATCTATCTATCTATCTATCTATCTATCTATCTATCTATCTATCTAATCGTCTGTTCCGTTGACCTTCTCCGGTCCTGCCGAAGACGAATGTGACACAAAACGAAAAAGCAGTTCAAAGAGATTCCACATAAGTGCCATGATGAATGGGGCAGTTTCTCCCAAAACATCTGTCGGAGGCCTTGGTTTCTGTCTTGCCGGGGGGCTCTTTCAGGCAGGTCAGCGTAGTCGGAGAGGCTTCCTCCCTGCAGCGCACACGCCTATTCTTCCCGTCGGACCCGTCCCCTGGATCCCATGGTCATAACAAGGTTTCATTGATAGCCGTTGCACCGGCCGGCCTGAAGTTTAGCCTTTGTTATACGCTGCTGTTGATGTTACCCTATTGACCCTCGCGCTGGAGGGATCCCCACCCAACGCCGGCGACTGATAATTAGCGAAAGCCTGTGGCAGACAGCACTTTGAAGTCATCGCAGCTAATTGTTGTGTCATCCCCCCCCTCCTTTTTTTTTTTTTTTTCCTCCTTGAAGCCTGCTTGTGGTAAACAGAACATAGGTTATGGCAGGCCAACAGTTTGTTCTGACTAAATGGACTATGGGGAAAAGGTTTAATGGATTGAAAAATAACAAATTTATCATGCTTAATAGGAAGCTATTCAGGTCAAATTGACCTCATGCGGGGGGTTAAATCGCATCATAACTTTCTGGCGCTCGACCTTCACTGTTAATTGGGGGCAGTGAAGAAGATTTTTCATTCTCCTAACTGCTGCCGAAGAGAGCACATGATTCTCTGCTCGCGGCTAGCCAAGCATGAGGTCCGTGCAGCGGCGGGACTCGTTGCATTACACGAGCGCGCTACGTATGGGGAAGAGGAACGTTGCTTGAGCAATTAGTTTTAGCCCGCCATACCAAATTGATGCGCTGTCACGTCGGAGGCTGGAAGGCGCGTGTCATCGGTGAGTCAGCCACCTTCTGAGGGGTTCAGGCCTCGCCCCTTCCCAGCAGTGAAGGTAAACAGAACCTTAACCTGCATTACTCAACGGGCGGCAGTCTAATATCAAAACAACCGGCAAATTGGTAAATCTTATGGTGGTCAGACTGCCGAGTGGGCGGCTCGGGGGGGGTAAAAATAAGAAACAGTTCTTCAATGTCACACGATCGATGTTCCTGTCTGACAGCTGTTTGTTCTAAAATAATTTTTCTGGGTTCTGCAGGAAAACAAGAGGCTTTGAAAATTCCACACCAGTGAGTTGCAGAGGCGGGCGGCGTTGTAAATAAACAAAGGCAAATTTACACAACATTTACCGTACATGTCTTTACTTTCAACGGATATTACGAGCTGTTTGTTGACACTTGGCTGAAAGAGAAGCGACCCCGTGGAGGCGCTTAAAGGAGCGTAATGCTTCCTGCATATGTGTGAACAGCGCCGCTTTTACGAGTCCTGCTTTAAAAGTAAAACCTCCTTTATATGATGCAGCAGGCACGTATAAAGTTAAAATAATAAAAAATAAACTTAAAGAACTGGATGAAGGACTGTATTTTCTTTACAATAAGACACGCTTTAGTGCATTTTTCAGTCTGTTTGAGAAGCACACACACACCGGATTTAGATGGTTAACTACTTGGAAGTCCGTTTGGTGCCAGACAGTTGGCATGAACTCAGAGGTGCCCGTCTCACCTTTACCCCAATTTCTAAAATACCTCATCTAATATTGCCTCTGCATCATTCTCTTGTCTGTTATGAAAGCGTGTTGAAGAGAACCATCAGTTTTGGGAGATACACGTGTGGAGCAGTTCTTTTTTTTTTCAGTGGTGGTGGCGGTGGTGGTGGTGGTGGGGGAGAGATGAAGGGTAATTACAGCAGATATCCATTTCTGCCCTCCTGGTAAAGCTGCTAATGTGGAAAATGCTTGACCTTCATTTTCCGTGGTCGGCTGGTGGAGACTACCGTGAAAGTGGACGGGCGGCCCGACGCTCCGAGGTGCGCGACAATCCATCAGCCCTTCACGACGAACGGCGGCGGGAGTCGGAGCTTGAGGAGCCGGGTCACAGCCAGGAGGACCGAACGGGAGGAGAGCCCCTGGGCCCGGGCCAGCGGCTGGAGAGGCAACGGAGGGTGAGGGGGCCAGGAAAACTGGAAGGGAGGGGAGAGAAAAATGGGGATAAGGAGAAAGAAAGCTCCAGTTGAAAAGCCCGGATGATCTATCGCACACGTTTACGCTCCTGCTTTTTCTTTTGTGCCTCTAAATACTCAAAATACACAAGAAGGCATGTCACACGGGGCACTCCATCCCGCTCTTATTTAGACATTACTGCCACTATTGATCTATGTCGCCACTGATTCCATGTGAATCCGAATGTTTTAGGCTGCATCTGGCTAATGACTAGAAAGGCCCCACATCTTTTGGAAAATGTATGTTTTGCGGAAAGTTATGGCAAGTTCTTATTTGACCTAATTGGCTGCCAGCGTGATCCACCCTTTGAATCGGCTCCAGTGGCATTTATCATGCAGCGGTGTGACATCATTCGGCGTATTGTTCATCGGAGACGCTTTTAAATCAAACTTCAAGAGACAGAAGGACTACACCACGAAATCCAAGGCTCGGAGCCGGAGCGTTTTGAGCATTTATAAAAACCCGAGCAACATCAGCCAGAGTGTATTTCAACAGTCGACCGAGGCTGCCATCAATAAAACAATTTTAATGTGATAGACTAGAGCTGTAGGTTCGTATAAATCCACAGGAATCCTTCTCTTTCCACGTTTGATGTAGGTGATGATGTAGATGCAGTTCCAACTGTCTGAACCAGCTCCCTCAGACCAACAAATTTTACTTTCGGTTGAGTGGGAGAGACGGCAACCCTGATCTTGGTTTTCAAATAGCAGAGATGCTCCAAATCCATCAGGTTTTCTTCTTGCATTGGAGCAGCATCAGCCCTCCTGTCTGTCAATCCTCTCAGGGAGCAGAGTTATTCAGGGCACCAGCTGACAGTAGAAGTGTTTATCAAACAACAATTCTGCTGCTAGGAGTCCATACCGTACCGCAGACCGTGCCGCCAATACGTAATGATTTCTGTATCGTTTCCAAAGCCGCTTGTCATCCCGGTTAAGCTTCTCAAAGGGGTCAAAAGGATAATTTGTAAAAAGGGAAGCACTTAATCTAATCTTTGTTACAGTTTTCATCATTCCAGGCAGCTAAAAGTCATTGTTAACTTAACAACTCACACCCATAAATGAATGAGCCGATCATTCATCCGTGAAGTAATGCGGGGCGGACGCGTCGCCAGCGCTATGACATGCATCACAGTCACTGCCAGTGGCGTTAAAAAAAAAAAAAGTCTGTCTAGTTTCTGGATCGCGCCTCTATTTCAAAGTGCAAATGGAGTTGAAAGGTTTTTTTTCCCTTTTTGTCTCCTGAAATGTACGCGAGGCCTGCGTGTACAGTAGAAGCAGAAGTTTTTTCAAGGCTGCACTTGCAAACCACCCATTAAAAAAAAAAAAAGTATGAATATCATGAAAGGGCGAAGTGGAAGTGGCTGTCTTAAATAACGCCCATGTGACCTACTTCTATTACCCAGCTGACAGCACTTCATTCATACAAGCTGGGAAAGACCCTGTAGTCCTTGGCCTAAGCGCACTACATTTATCCTGCTCTATCTTCAACTGTTTCCTCTTGTTGCGTGAAAGCCTGTTTTCTGTACGCGGCTGCGAAGGCACCGTGGAGGTCTCCCGTAACGTTCCCCTTCAAAGAACAGCTGTCATGTTCAATGAAAAGGAAAAAAAAAAACGACATTAATAAAGCACATAATTTCAGCTTTTACGAAGTGATTCCCTGCCAAACGAACCTCCCTTTTTCCACGTTTTCCCCAGGTCCTCGCTGCTGCCCGGCCTGAACAATGTCGGTATTATGTTAGCTCCTGGGCAAAGAGAAAGGAGAGCTGAGGGCTTTGATAGAAAACGGCAAAAGGTAGCTAACGAAGAGATTGACGTTCCTTGTTGGTGCTCCCCATTGAAAGTCATCACAGAGAGCGATTCACATGGATCGCTTAAAATTCTGGCGGCGAGGCGAAGAATACGCTCTTGACGCTTGCTTATAATGAGAGCCCTACATTCTGGGTGTAATGATACTGTTTGGCTTTCCAATGGGTACACTTGACCTCTCGCCCTTCGCTCGCTTAACGGTGACGAGGCAGCCACTCTCAGCTAAACGGATGCAAATGCGACATTCAGGTGATCACGGAGAGGCTGGGAGAATGAATTAGCTTCTAAACACCGTCCTCAAAATCTAAAAAGTGCAGCAATTAAAAGCAAATCAAATCCACCTTCAGCGCTCTTCATTGAACACACACACATGCGCGCTCGGCTTGTTTGCGTGAGTGCAATTACGCAACTTTGATATTGTTATTGTTACTCCGACCCGTTGCTTTGTGAGAAGCTGTGCGGTGCAATGCAGTTATATTTCTGCTCTGCATTTGAAAGATGATAGGAGTGGCTTGGTTGTCATGCCAGAGCTTTCAAAGGACTCTTTGTGTAGAAGCGTCGGTCATAGCCAGAGACATCCTCCTGGTATTTATTCTAGAGTTCCTCCAGATGCTGCAAATTGTATCAAATTGGGCCACGTTAAAACCCACTTTCATAACATGGATAGCTGCTGCACGGATCTGCAGCGGTTCCCCAACAAGAGCGCTCGCGCCGCCGGGTTTTGCTTCTGCAGTTGTCAAGGAGCACGTGTAAGATTGTGGAGCAAAAAAAAATATTCTAATTTGATTTTAAAAAGTACATTAGATGAAATAGCACCACATGTCGTGAGTGTGTGAAAACTAGTTATCAAGTCTGTTCTGCTGAAAAAAACTCGTACACAGCCGGGTCTTTGTAACGAAGCGGCTCGGACTGATCCACAACACGCTGCTCCGGTAGGTTTTGTGCATGTTTGAGCTCATGCACATTCGTGTTTGTGCACAGGACACGAGGAAAAGGAGGAGGGGAAGGAGGGATGGGAAGAAAGGGGGCAGCAAAGAGAGGAGAGGGGCAGGGAAAGTGCCACATGATAACTATCTAGACATGCTAATTGGCTAAATATCAACACATTTTCTCCAGAATTGCAGACTCAACCTTTATAGAATTGCTCAGATGCTAAAGCGGATGACATTTGAAATAGTTAAAGATAATACAGAAATACTTTAAATACCTAAAAGTAACAGCTAACAGTGTTGTTTGTGTTACTGCTGAAGTTAACAGCATTACAAAAGCTGGGTCTCCATCCTAATATGATTTAAATCTGAACCAACTTTTCAGACATCTGTACGACTATTACGCAAGATATCAGCGAGATAAGTAGTAGTTAGCTGTAATTCTCTTGCTGAAGATAAGGATCCAGTGAGATGATGTAATAACAGAGCAGCAGATTAACCTCAAAAAAAAAAAGAAAAGAAAACAAACCACTAATGTCTGAGTGTGATGGAAAGTTTGCTGACTGAGAGCGGGCTGGGCAAAAGCAATGGAGGGTTTCGAACAACTGATATTACAGATTTGTGCTGCTGGAAGAGTTCTGGTAAACGCGGAAGCTCGAATGACATTTAAGTCACGTGTTTTGCTGCTTTGAGATTTTCTTCAACTTCATCAAGCGCTCGAAGCAGTACACCACAATCTGCAACCATCAAAATGACAAGTATGCTATAAATGTGCTGTAGATGTGCAAATACAACCAGAATCCACTTTTATATAATGCAGTATGTGAGTCTGACAGGGCTTTAGGCTACACCTGCCAAAAAAGGCCGAGCAACGCCGCTCTACGCAGATAAAACAACATACAACACGTACAGAAATAGATTAAGATACTGATTGAAACTAAAGTACTTGAACTGCGGCCATCATCGCTCTCACGGGTCACCGCCGAGATCTGTCCGTGCACGTCCCGGTCACCCTCAAGGATATTGGGGTCAACTGGACATGATCAGTTTCAAGCACTGATAGCAGACAAACAACAAGCCTTGAGGGGGTGGGGCGAGACTGCTGGACAGTCATAAGACAAATGCAACCTCCTTCTCTAATTAGATTTCTCATGGGCTGGAAGATGAGCCGTAATCAGCTGTCTCCATGGGCTTCTGTTTACTCGGCGAGCCAGCGGAGACAAGGAGTGTGTGTTCATACAGTATCCTTCTATGAGAGGTTCGTATATATATCTCTTGGGACGTGGTGGGAAAAGAGGATGAACGGGCAGAACGGAGTGCGCTGTGTGTTTTGGATGGCAGTTCAGCGAGTGGTAATGGTGCTCGGGGTCCGCTCATGAGAGAGAGAGACAGGCGTGCATCTCTGTGGGTTGAACGAGAGCAGCGAGCCAACTCTCTTTGGGTTGTTTAAGATCTTTTGGGAGAGCAGAAATGTGTTGTTTCCAGACAGGCCGAAGGAAACTGATGATGCAGCATGGATGAGAGGGGGAGATGAATGGGATCTGTTACATAACTCGTCCAGTTTTCCAAGGTTTCTGTTTGAGTTTGAATTGTGAGCTTCCCATGCTTTTTTTTTTTTTTTTTTTTTTTTTTTACAGCCAGATCAAAATATGTGTGTGAGGATAGGAATGGGCAGGATGCACGTTTTTACATTACAATCTATATAAACTGATCTACATCATTGTAAATTAACTTTAACAGTGGTCCCTGGCTCTGTAACAGGACAATAAAGTAATTACCGTACACTCACTTTATTCAGAGAATCATAAAAGAGGCTGCTTTGACTGAAATAATCCAGAAATATGCACTGCAGAGTCTTAAAGAAAAAACATCTGGAAGCTGTAACTTATATTTTTTATGATATTGTAGCCAGTCGATTTAAATTTAAATTGAAGGTAATGATTAATGCAGCTGCATTCATGCTTATTCCAACAGCCCTCCGCAGAAAAAGACGCACAGCAACATCATGTAACTTGGCAGAGAAAGTGCGTGTGGGCACATGGACCGAGCGGTGCTGTGAGTGGAAGCAACAATACAGTCGACAAGGGGGAGTTTCTTCTTGCAAAGCGCATGCAATCCCTACAAAAAATTCCCAGTGACTTCAGATCCAAGGAGGTGGTGATATTCATGGGAGCACGATTCAAACTCGCTCACTTGGAGTAGGAATACAGCTTCAGCAGCCCTGGAGCCAACGAGCTGCTCTCTTTGCGCCTCTTTTCTTGTTTGACATAACCCAAAACAGATGGAATAATGATTGCTTAAAATAACACTTTCTCAGCGCTGGAAGGAGAAAAAGCTGATAGCTGCTCACTTTTTTTTGGACTCTAGTTAAGTGCTGATTTGATAACCTGAAGACATTCTGCTTAAGCCTTACCTGGGCATTATGAAGAGGTATCCAGGCTTCTTTCATTCTTGGGAGAGGATGCCGTCTTGCTGAACTCGTGTAGACTCACCGCGTTTGCTATTATTTTTTTAATTTAAGCTGCTCGTTGTCATTTCAGTGGCTCTGCGTAAAACTGTAACGCGATCTGCGCTTTTACGCGGTAGTTTCAAAACTTTGCATGCCCAAAATGGACCGTGCAGGATTTGCTGTTTTAGTGGTTGTGACTGTTGCGCTCATGCGGGTTGGTGACAGTCACAGGGACGCGACAGGTGGGAGGAAAGAGGGTGCAGGGGCAGGCCGGGCGGTGTGGCACCAGCAGCAGTCCCGGGGGATCAGTCAAGGTCACTCGCCAAGGGGACCGTCGGACGGTGCGTCCTCCGGAACATCGGGTGAAACGTCCAGCCGCTCTCGGACTCTGGTGCGCCTGGCCAGGGGAGCGTCAGCCCAGGAGGACCGTCGGCACACATCCAAAGCAGGACCCGCTCACGCTGCCGGCGCCCCTCGGGAGGACCTCGCCTCTGCGCAGCGCGTCGCCAGACACCCGGTCAGCCAGCAGCAAAGAACCAGAGTGAACCGCAGGCAGAGCAGCAAGTCCGGCTCTGCCGGCACCAGACGACTTGTTGGGTAAGAGTGACAGCCAAAGAGCTCCACAGTCCACAATAAAATGCTTTTGCTTTTGCTCGATCACATGAAGCCAGTCAGGTTTATTGCACGAGCAGCACTTTTTGGGTGCATCTGTGTGACCTATTTTACTGTACATGAGTCCATGAGGTTTACTGTTAAGTGGTGGCGGCCCATTTTCTTCCTGTAATGCAAACCAATTGATGATGTAACAATGGCTACAAAGCAGCAGCCTGCACACTGCATGAAACTGTCATCCAGCAGGAGAGAGCTTTGTGTCAGCTAACAATGAATTACAATAATGTATGTATTTTGTCACCAGGGTCATGGCAGGACATGTAATAATAGCTGAGGTTAAACACTGTGCTAATTACTGGGCTGATAGTGCACATATGAACTGTGTTTGAACTGCTTGACACTGCATTATCACCATTTCCTCCCATTACTGCTCACTGCAGTGTATTTAAATCATACTTGGAGAGCGGCTGCAGACTACTTCAATGTGTGTGCCCCAGTTTTGTGCTTGTTGCCTGTGGCCATGTATTGAAGTGGCTCGACCAGAGCGTTGGCTGGTGAACATTTTTGCAAATTCGCTCGGTGATCAGAAACACCTGTTTCTCTCCGATGGCCCTCTCTCAGCGCTGCAAATCCCACTTTTTTTTTTTGTCTCTGTTAAACTCCAAACAGGACGATGGGTTGTTTCCATATTAGAGCTCTATTCTTTTTGTTAAATGAAGCCTCGTGCATCCAGTTCGGGTTGTTCCATAGGGACAAAGCTTGATATGAGCTGGGAGGGGGCGTGGGGAGTGTTTACATAATAATCAGAGGGGGATTTGAATGGCTCACCTTGGGTTGCAGACAGTGAAATAAAGGATTGTGTTTGTGTGTCATATCGGGGCCTCTTGCCTTTAGAAAACTGATGACTTATATGGCCAATTTATGGAGGACACTTGACAAGAAAGAGAGGGATTCAACCAAGTGTGCTCACCTGCATTAAGCTTAAACCTGAACACAGATCAGGAGGAACAACACTATGAATGAATAGCGTGCACAACTGCTTATCAAATTTGATCCCTTTGCAGAACCGTGAAAAGCAGCATTCACCATTAAACACCAAAGAGAGGCGATGGTCCGGGATCCAACACTCGTATCTCTCTTGTTACTGATTCACTCGGTGGAATAAATGCGTTCGATTAAATCACATTAAAAGCAGCGTTTCTGGACGTCACTCAGACGGCTGCACCGATGCGTGGCTGAATTTGAGGTGCTGTCTATTTAAAGCAGCGCAAAGAAAATAGCAGCCTGCAGTCTTGGATCCGACATGCTTTATTGCAGCGCGGAGCGAATGCCTTGCTTGACATTGCCAACAAAACATATTCCACTGTTGAATGAATGGGCCTCTTTGAGTTTTTAAAGAAGCATAAAGGTGGCGTTACGTAAATCTGCGGGAACATTACCTTAGAGTCGTCTGCGCGGTGATTCTAACACTTTGATTCATTAGCTCGAGATGAATCATCTGCTGCTTGTTAGGGGGAAAGTGTTTGCATGACACATTTCCTCTTGGAATTCCCACTCAGCTTACTCATTTACAGTATCCCGCAGCAGTGGCACCGCTGGGCTCACTTAGCTTCTCCTTTACGTTGGCTCAGTGTGACTCCCTTTCAGTTTTCAGTGCACCTGTCAGATACCTGATTGATCCAGATAGCTCAGTGGTGAAACGATACTTCACCTCGTCTTGTTGGGGTTTTAAATAAAAATATAACAAGGTGCGAACACGGTGTTATCTACATACATTTTTACCTGGGGCATGATACTAATTATGTTGTATAAAGGTCTCCATTACATACATAAATCCCTTGATGGAATTTGAATGTGATGACTGATGTCTTTGGCACGGGCCCGGCCTGATGTGTTTGATTTATGACAAAGCTAAGCCTGCCAGAGGGCCCAAACAACTGCATGTTATCCCTGTGACGCCTCGGTAAGACTCGCCGCATCGGATGAGCGCAATCCAACAGAGATCAATGATTCAATCCCCGCTATCTTCTCGAATCGCCATGAGTCAGACGTCCAAATATCTCCTGAAAAGACGACGGGGCACAGCGCCATGCCAAGCGCGTTGACTGTTGCCCTGGAGTTGCTGTTGCGGTCTGGTGCCTTTTCATCTACCTCGCTGCAAAAAAAATTGGCCCGTGCTACGAGTGCGGATTAGAGAGTGCAAAGAATCCAGTTATAACTGTTTAAAACTTGTCATCTCTCATTTGCTCAGTGATTTGTAGAAGATGCAGGGTGTTTTTCATGTCCCGTGTGTCTCGCATAATCCCTTTAAGGCTCAGATAACTCTGTATTTGTTTTCACTCCGGACTCTCACATAACAGAACGGGGCGACTCGTGCGTCCACATTGAGATAGAGTTTCGTGACTTGCCCTGACAGTTTTTTTTTTCTGTCAAGTGAAATGCAATTATAGCGTAATCTCAAAGGTTTTCATATCAGTGGGCCAGACACATCAGAGAGATTTGAAACTTCAACAGCCTTTTGCAATCAGATCTGTTTGTCATGCGAAGATCTGAGGCCGCCACTCTCACAGTTACTGCTCTATGGATTATAAAAAGGGCCTCTATTTACATGCATATTTGAAAAACATATTGTTGTTTCAACCCTGTTGTTTGTACATGTGGTGCTTTGTTTAGGCCCAACGTCTGTGGAGGTCAGCAGTGCTGCTCCGGGTGGGCGTTGGCACCGGGAACCAACCGCTGCATAAAACGTAAGTATCCTGTGTTAGATGAACTTGCATGAATATTCTTTTGTTCAGCTACTTTGGCAACCAAGGTCGTGCATGTTTGTGAAGTCTTTGCAGACAGAGAGGCTTTACAATCTTACGCACAGCGACTGAAAAACTAACACAGTAAACGGCTACTAATGACCGTCCTGTCAAGTGGAATTGCCCTATGAAAATCTTTCTGGGGTGTTATTGCCCCCATGGTCATGTTCATCGCGCCGTGTTTTGCCTTTTTCATGTAAGATCCTCGGGTGGAAATTACCAACACTTAACACTTGGCTCTCTTTTTGACACCAGCCCCTAATTATGGGTGGAACTGCTGCTTCTTTTATTTGACCGCAGCAGCGTCGGCTATCCCGACTCCCAGATAATTAAAAGGGAAAACAGAAGACACTGGCTGTGAATGAATAATCAGCCACTTGTTGAAATTTTGACAGAGGCAGTTTCTGTTTCTGTCTTTCGCTTGCATGTCACGGCGAAAAATTTATCTTTTTAAACCTGCTCCTCGGTTCGATCTTAAAATAGGAATGGCTGCAGCTCACACCAGATTTACTCCTCGCATGTTATGTTTCAATTCCATGTTTATGACCACCATTGTTTGTTGCAGGCTCAAATAACAGGTTGGAATGAGGACTGTTTTTAGGAGAAGTTATCTTTGAATTTTACAAGCCAAGTGAAAGCCACGCTGGAAGTGCCATCTATCTAGCAGCGAGCTGGCGATGCTTTTTTGGACTTGTTTACTGTTTTCTCTCTTTCTTCTCTGCTAATTATCTCTCCCCTCACACACACACACACACACACATTTCAGCCAGTCAATTACACAACAAGCTGCTCGGCCCCAGCAGTCTTCTTATTAGATCTCCTTCCCTCCTGCCCAGTGCAAAGGCCTCCTTGCATTTTTTTTTCCTCCCCCAAATCCACAGACGAAGGCACAGTTACCCAGGTGTAAATTACGTCTAACACGGAGCCGCGGTTACCCAAATTAAAAGAGTAAATAGTTTTAATCTGCCAGAAAGTAACAGGTTCAGTCTAACGCGTCTATGTTAAACAAGCCAGTGCATCTGAGCAGGCCAGGGGACTGTCCAACCATCTGGACCCTCTTACAGCTTGGCCCTCGCCCAGGTCTGACTGGAGGCTATGCTATCATCAGCTGAGTGAAGCCCCACGGCCGGCAAGGTGCCAACACAAAGGCCCCAGACTGGAGCTGGGACTGGAAGCCCCCACGTAGAAGACCTCCATGGAGGGAAACAGGCTCAGGCTATCTTTATTCCGACCTCGCCTGAGACCCAGGGCTGCTTTATTAGGAGATGGCAGCATGAGAAAACATGTTCACAGTGGGGGAAAGAAAAGGAACAAACCTGTCGGCTGGGAGCGAAAGCGAAAACATAACAGGGCTCAGCTACGTGTAGGAAATTCTGGCTGAAGGGATTGAAGTAATGTCTAATATTAAAAGTGTCAGCTGCAGGTTTCACCCGCGAGGCTGGACTGGGTGTCTAGAATCATGGCATCCTAACAATACCTCCTTGTTCGATCGGGTTGAGCTCAGAGCCTATACGTGACAGGAACTGGATGACTAGCTGTCCAGGGAGTGCGCTTACATGTCTTTAGGAACGTGTTTATAAAGTGGTCTGCGTCTGGGTCTCTTTGGGTCTGGTTAGAGATTGTCATCTGGCTCACGAAAGCCTCTGTCCTGCCCACATCCTGCCAGGTTCGGTGCTGCCTGTGTTTTCGACTTCAGGATGGATGGTTAGCAGACTTGTTTGTGTATAAAAGCAAATTCCATGCGCCAAAAATAGTCCGTGTTTTGCGATCGAAGGCTTTGATCCATTAGGAAGAACAATGCATTCCCACTGCTGGGTCATGTTTGTTTGTCTTCTGGTCAAGCTTATCGACCTATTTAGAAATGGAAGTTTTCATAGCTACGGTTTGACCTTTTTATTAATGGTGGCCGAGAACTACAGGTGTGTGTGTGGTTGGCTGGTAAAGCGAGGCCAGGTGTGAGCTCGGATCTTTCCGTCCCGTTTACACGCGAGTAGGATGGACGCTCCCCGTCAAGACGAATGGAGCATCCTGTTTCTGGGTCAGCGCTCGGTCCCTACTGTGTTGAGATTCACATCTGTTCATCAAAAAGCGCTGTTGCTTAGATGGGAGAGCGGAGGGAGTCCATATTGTGGCCTCGCCCAGTAATAGCCCAGCAGTTGGCCTGCCATGGTTACGAGACAAGCCTATCAGTCAGCTGCGTTACTGTTGCTGTCAACACTTTCTTGACACAAAAGCTGATGAAATCCTCGTGCTGCAGATGTTAGTTTAATGTCAAATCTCCAGACGGAATCCTCCGCTGACTCCTATCAATTTAAAACAGTTTTGCACCACCAACAGCTCAACAACACCTCATTTGTCAAATTTGCCAGTAATGATAAGCCATGGGAATGTCGTACAGCTGCCTAAACAGTAATTGCCAAAAAGCATCATGTTGATTTAGTACCAACAAACCTGCTCCATTGGCTTGTGTTGGGAACGGCCACTGTTTACTAAACAGTGAGTTACCTAACTGTGGAATTAGAATGGAAGTCTGAATTGCCGGCATGTTTTAGGATAAATACGGCAACCGTCAATTATGTGTCTTGTACATCGGTGTGGAATTACTGTTTTGAAGTTTTGGTTTGCAACATTCCTCGGAAAGAAAAAACAATTAAAGTAAGAAGTTTTGAGCCTCTGTTACCGGATGGAAGGTTTAAACTCTTCTGCTTTGCGACTGTCTTTAGAAGTTTCACTCGTGTATTTGTACACCTGAATCCAGTCAAACCTGGTAAATAAATTGCTTAATGAATCGACTTCCACGCTGCGCCGTTCCTCTGAGCTCTTTGGCGTTCTGCGTGCTGTAGCTGTCTACAGTGTCTGTTAGATGTAATCACTCCCTTTGGAACTTTCCTCCTTTAATTACTTTTCAACACTCAATTGGGGTCGTTATAATTTGGCTTTTTTTTTGGCAAGAACGTACAATCATGTCACAAATTGAAAACAGAATTCTGCAAACGAATGCCAATTAATTAAAAACTGTAAAACAAAAATAAGTGACTGCTACTCACCCCCTTCAAGTCAGTATTTGGTAGATGCATCTTTGGCCACAGTTACAACAATGAGCCTGTGTGGATAGCTCTTAATCAGTCCTGCACATCTGGACTACGATTTATCCTGTTGTTCTGTGCAAACCTGTTCCAGCTCTGTCAGGTTGCAGCGAGTAAATAGCTCTTTATTAGTCCAGCCACTAATTCTCAACTGGATGTCAAGTTTTGCTCAGGACTTGGATGATGATGATGCCACCACCATGCTTTATGGTGATGATGGTGTGTTTGGTGTCTGATAGCCAAAAAGCTCAACTTTTGTCTTATCAGAGTCTCCCACATGCCGTCCCACATCACTTTGTAGAAATCTGGTTTCACTTTAACAAGAAAGACACTTTTTTTCTGTAAATTCTTGTCAAAAAAAGCTAACCAAAGTTGATCATTATTTAATATTGTAAAGCAATAAAAGTGGAGTGAGTACTTTACACTGTACATGTTAGACAACACCAGAGTCCACAGTAGTGTTTTTATTGAGCATTATCTAATTCATAATGAAAATAAACTACTTGACACTCAGATTTTTTTTTTTCTGAAATGTTTTTGTTTATATTGTAAATGTCCAATAACGTCCCTCAGCGGTTATTCAGTTCATTTGAAACTGAGCAATATTAGATTAAATTGAGTTATCGTTATTTTAATGTGGCCTCTGGCCTCCTGTCATTTTGACAAAATGGCCCCTGGTCATAGTGTATCTCTGGTTTACAGCCATGATAGATGCTCTGTGATGCAATATTCAGCAAAGCAAAGTGCTACGACTAACTTCAACCTTTCAGCATGGAAACATTTATAATCTTAATATGCTAATGTTTAGCAACAAATGCTAAACTGTCTTAATTTTATATGATATCATATTAACATTAGACATTTAGAGCTAAACACAAAGTACAGATGATGGGATGTCATTTGATGTGCAGATATTTTGTCATAAACTGCATTTGGCCAATTTAAATTGAGAATATTTGTTTTCCCTCCTTGAAAATATTCCCTTCCTGCCTTTAACAATATTCAGTTCCTGCCTCTTTCTCCACCAGCCTTCACCACTCACTGCAGCTCAAACACACCAGCTCACCTACAGCTCTGCTCAAACACTGTACAACTACTCTGTGCTATAATATTACAGTTATCCAGCCATTTGTATCTGAACTGGAAACTGATTTTGAAATCCTCATCCTGCACGTTGACAGGATTGGTTCCTAAGGTTTGGTACATATTAGTCTCGGACCATTCTCTGGCATTGGCATTGTTCTGGCTGCATTTTATCATCATTCTGCTGTCGAGATAAAAAGGCTGCTTTGAATGGTGCTAAGCCCAGGATGCAGCGATGGTGTCCGTGCAAAATAGGGACAATGATTTGCTTCAGTCAAACATTTGCATGCATGGAAATGGGAACCATAATTAAAACGGCTGATATGGCCCAATAAAAACTAGTATTGCTCCCTGACTGCACAAGTCTTTGGCAAAAGTTGATATTTTCTGTGAGGGTGATTTTGAAAATGGTAACTGTGAAATGTGCGGCAGGCTTATACCTGTAGTCAACAGTCAATCAGATTAGCCATGTATGGAAATCTGAAGTCTGAATCCACGTGTTTGAGACTCTTGTTGTGCATCTTCAAGGTGGAAGTGCTCAGCCATGGCATTGTCCTCTTGTTTTATGCATAGTATGTCTTCTAGCATGTAAAAACCATCATATGAACATGTTAACAAGGTAAAAACAAACCCTATTCCATTGGAGGAGGTGTTTAAATGGCCGCTAAATGCTTTACAGGGGGACATGAACATCTGCATCACATATCATGGAAATTCTTTCAGTTGTTATGTCATTAAAAATTTGAAATATTAACCTCATGGTGGCGCTACAGC